ATCCACAACAGCCGCCAGTGCAAAATACCACAAGACTAGTCAGCATCATTAGCGGCGACGGCAATGAACTTTCTGTGAACGATAAAGGCTGAGACTGTCTGTCTGACTGGGTGTACGTGTGTGTGTCAGCATGGTCTAGTCACTGCAGCTACGGAGATGACTAACAAATAGGGTCGCCCAATACGAGGCTGTCTGGAACGCTTTGATGGTTTTCCCATCTCTGCATATAGATATATATATTTCCATTCTTGAATAACCTGTTTCGTTAGAAGTGATGAAACAAAAGCCTAAATTTAATTCTGACTGTGCACAGACAAAGTAACCAACAAATGGTACGTACCTTGGGCCTCGTTGAGAGTGTTCTTAGCGGGTGGGCCACTGGATTTCGAACGAAATTTGTTGGGATACGCACCTCGGGTACTTTCCAGTTGTCCCATACGTCGAATACAATCCGCGATGGCACTCTTCATGCAAGCCAAGTCCTCGGCTTGTTCGGCTACCTTCTTTTCCAGATACGTGATTCTGTCTCTGAGACTCTGCGCATCGTCCAAAAGAAGGCCATCTATTGGTGAAGTAGAAATCAGTAAGTTTAGGCGTGATCTGTTAATGGAAATACCACAATACACTGGCTGAATGTAAACTGGCACCTAACTTAGAATAGTGCTCAAACAACTAGTAACTACTCGAGAACCACAGGCAAGGCGAGGCAACTAGCCAACGAAACATGTCCATGGGAGACAGGTAATAGAATGACTCGCAATGAAGGTATGCTGAAAAATAAGCAATTTTAATCCTGAAATTAGGCAGTCGCGGGGAGTTGTTAGCAGAACTTGCAGAGTTGAGATCTAAAGAACCGAAAACCCTATAAAATGCAGCATACGCTGAGGACGATAGCATTTTGCGTCTAGTTTGAGTTTCCCGTAAGTAAGGTCCCCTTGACGCGATTGGATGGTCCGCCGAACATCTACTTAAACATATATTTCTGGACTAAATAACCAAATCTGTGACAAGCACCTGGGTCCCTGCCACGTACCTGTTTCGACCTGGACTGCGCCGTTCGCGACAATTTACGT